CACGTTTGTTTCGAACGTATCTAGATATATCTAGTATCAATCGAAGCACCATTGCAGGTCTATGACGTGGCTCCTGCGCGGGTCCTCAAAACATCGGGCCCGGGCAATATCAGGCTTCCACAGGCTCCCATCCAGCCAATTTCTTGGCCAGGCACCACCTCAACTCGAAATACGAATTGGTCCCACGTTGCCCCATTACCGTGTCCATGATCCAAGAACTGCATTGATTGTTGGACAGTCATGATCTTTGCAATAAGTCTTGGACGCTGCATACGCACCACCATTCTTGGTCCACCCAAGGGAGACTCCATTGTGACTATTCTCCTCCGGGCGCGCAGCACTTGTAGGAACATAAGAACATAACACTTGTTTGTGTGCATGATATGGGATCCAGGAACACCGGGAACCATATATGAGCCGAGTTGCAGCAACTTTCAGGTCAAAAACCTGGTTCACTGCGTGCAATCGCTCTTCCGGCACTGGCTTGACATAGTAGGATCGGGTGTACATCCTTGGCCAAAGCCGGGTTGCATGCACTATTGTAATTGTTTGATTAGATTTAGATTAGATTGCATATAATTTGATGGGTGTAGCACCCAATGTTCATTCCAATAAATATATTTGAGGATGCCACAAAACCCCAATTGGTGCCGCAAACTCCTTCGGACAGTACTTCTTCAAGCACTCCTTGGGAAGGTAGAGAGTGAAGGACCTCAGATTGATCTCCCATGCAGCAGCAATATACGTGATCTAATTCAATTCATGCATATCAATCAATGCACATCCATACTATACTTTTTATACAATTCAAACAATAAATAATATGCAAAGTAGCTTTCTGACAGAGCCATCTGGCTTTTTTTCTAGAAGAAACTCTTCAACGTCAGCACCATTCGGAAGCTTGAAGTAAACGGGATCACGAAGTGCCACCTCCTGTATCTCGCTGAAGCCCACCTCCAGAGTTAAGCAAGCTGATGAATAAAACAATTGTGAGATTGTGATTCAGCCAAATGTCTCACACTTCTTGGTGTGCTGGACCAGCTGGATGAAAGACTGATTTTTGTGGGGGGTATCAAGGAACTTCCCTATGGACTTGTCCCCATACCCCATTGCCTCAGGACCACTGTTATGCTTCCTTTTGGGCTCTGCCTTTGCCTTGGGCGCAGCTACCTCTCTTCCTTTGAGTGCTTTGGCCCCTCCATCGATCTCTGAGTCAGCAGCCTCATCAAATGCTGGAGTCAGCTTGCGGGCCACTGGCTTGGCCGCAGGCTTTCCCTTCGCAGCCTTGGCACCCCTTGCCATTTCCAAGGCCTGCTTGGTCCGCTTCGATGGCCTCTCCTCAACGTCTCCGCTCGGAGCATGGCGCTTCTTGGGGCTCCACTTCTCAGCCGAAGCTATGAGTTGCTTCGCTTTGGTCTTGCTGATCTTTGGCTGCGGCTCTTCACGTGCCTCTGGCTCATGAGGCTCCTTTGGCTCCTCTGCCTCCTTTGGCTCCTCTGCATCCTCAGCCTCCTTGTCACGCTTTCTCTTGCTTGCCTTTGGTGGGGTCTTGGCTGCCTTCTCTTGCGCAGATCTTCCCCTGGCTTTTCCTCTTCCTTTCCCCTTTGATTGCCCTCGTCCTCGTCCTCGCCCTCGGCCTCTGCCCTTCTTCGCACCTTCTTCAGAATCTTCTTCCTCCCTGAGAGCTCTGTCAGGGTCCTCATGGTCCTCGTCTGCTCCCTCCATCTCCTTTGCAGCCTGCCTCATTTTGCGTTGAGCCTGCCAGGAACAAGAGTCAATGCAGAGTTGGAGTGCCTTGGACATGACCAAGAATTCAAATAGTCAATGCTTGCACTGGTATGTTTAACTCAAGATCCAATAGAAGAACTGAAGAAGGCAACAATTGACGACCGGCTTGCCTCTAGAAGGTCTTCTTCAGAACATGGGATGTTTCTTGTCTTCAGCAATTCCCTCATCAGCAGCATGCACTTATCCACCACCTTGTCATTGTGCAAAGGTGCTGTTGCACGCAAAGGCTTGCGGTCCTTGAAAGTTCCTTTCTTGGTGCCATCCGCATCCTCGCCATCAGAGCAATGCCTGTCTTCCCAAATCTCCTCCTTTGCCTCAGCCGCCGCTTCTCCAGATGCATTTCCACTTCCTCCACTTGCTCCACCTGTAGCAGTCGACGTTGTGGGATCAGAACCAGCCTCATCCGGGGTCTGATATGATTCATCATCGTCACGATCGTCCGGCATTTGGCTGTCATGCAAAAAAGCCTGGTCAATAGCCGCTTGGCCAGCAACGTGATCAACCTTCTCCATCTTGCTCTCCTCGGCGTGAGGCTCCTCAGGCTTTTCTGGCTGGCCCTCCTGGACCTCATGAGGCTCCTCAGGCTTTTCTGCCTCGCCCTCCTGGACCTCATGAGGCTCTTCAGGCTTCTCTGTCTTCTGGCCACTTGGCACCTCCATCACCTCAAGCTGTGCACTGTTGGGTTCGACATGCACGTCAACCTCCATTGGCTTCTCCTCCTCACCTTCGTCTTCAATGTCCTTGTGCTCACCTTGGTCTCCTGCAGGTTCTTCAGTCTCCATTGGGAGTGGCAAAGTATCCACGTTGTCAGGATTGATGGAATCTGCTCTTTGGACTTCAGCCACACCTGCCCAGAGCACAATTTGGCATAAAACAGTGAAAAGCTGCACCCCAACCTGCAGGTTCCGCTAGACCAGTCTCCACGACCTCCACGACCTCCACCTCGTGTTCCTCCTCCTCCTCCTCCCTGATGTTGCTGAGATCGGCCTCCTGCACATAGAAGGCCTCCTGCCAAGGTTTGAAACTACAACATGCTGCAGTGCTCTGGCCTGCTTGCTTGAAAACAGACTTCGACAGAAAGAAATATGACCCTAGCCTTAGATTTTGATCGCCCCCGGCTGGCCACCTTCTTACCACAGTCGGTGAGCATGCCCTCCATCTGACGGCAGGTGTGCATTACAGGAATATACAGGCATGCGTGCTATCATGGAGTCTAGATTGATACGCTGGTTTTGGCACACTGCACCTCCAACTTCTTGCGAATGACATCTTTGATGATGGCCATTTTGGACTTCGATGACCTGGCCAATCAATGCATGATGCACCAATCCAACCTTTTGGATTGTGACATCAAGCATTCAAAGATGTTGAGGAAATTGCCTTGCTTGTGGATTCTTTTGGAACCGTAGAAGGCAGTAGCTCATGAAGGACCTCTGGATTCCTGCCTCTACCGAGGCCCATGCCTGGAAGGATGGAAACGCATATAGTTGATTGCCCGCATGCTGGTTTCAGAATGCAATCTTTAAAGTATTTTATCCAAGTGGCCACATGGGCTGCATGGTTTTCAAACTGGTTGATGGCAAAATGCTCGCTTGTCCAACAAAGAGCTGCCTGAACACAGAGCGGAAGTGAACTTTACCAATTTTTTTTAATATAAAATATACGTCATATATTCTGTCAGATGCACATCATGGCACAGGGACTTTGAATGACTGGTAAAGGATGGTAAAAAAGCAAATACCGAATTGAACTGGCCTTCATTTCACTCTCTGATGGCAAGTTGTGACAAAAGCTGGCCAGGAAACTTGTGCAAAAGGAAGCGTTGTCTTCCTGCTCCACCTGCAGGAGAGAAGGGACATGGTCCTTGACAACTTCATGAAGGGGATGTGGACATGGCACCTGCAAACACAATAGGAGAGATGAAGAGAGAAGGGACATGGCCGTTGGCGACCTCACGAAGGGGATATGCACATGGCTTATGCATGCGTGTATACCATATAGCTCAATAGCTGCGCCTCGTTTTCCTGTATCCCTTCTTTCTTGGAGTAGCGCATGATGAAGGTGAAGCCAGGAACCTGAGATTGATCGAAGAGACTGGGCCCATTAATTAATATCTATTTGGCGATCAACACCGCACTAAAAACAACGGATGTACAGGCCATCATGAATTCTTGCTTGCCTTGGTTCCAAAACCCCATGAAGACAGGACACTGTTGGATCAGCCTCACTGATTTTTTTCCTTTGCCGCAGCAGCTTGCGTCGCTGCCGGAGAAATTCAGCATCTTCAACCCACTCCCTGTAAAACTCCTGACAGCCCGTGGGCCCACACATCACTCCATTGTCCCAAACAAAATACATGTTCCATTCATGCCCACCGATGACACCTACCGGCCTTCAGGAGGCTGACCCGCTCAGAGCTGCAAGACATGGTGCCACCAGTGCAAAAAAGCAAGAACCACACTGCGCCGGATGGAGCCAGGGGCTAACAGGTTTAAACATGAGATCACGGGTGCATCATTTGATATCACGCATTTGGTTTTGAACTCTCTCTTTTTGATAAAGGGGCGAACAAATGCTATAGTAGTACCAGTGATCAGGGGCCTAGGGTCTTTGCCAAAAAGAGAGATTCAAAACATCAGCCCCAATCGAACTTCTCCAGCCTATCGGATCAAGCCCACTCAGCCGGGCACACTCAAGGTCCTCATAGACCCCTTGGCAAAAGGGATGGTACAACGCAGATCCACTGAGGAAGTAATCCAAGGATCCCACGTTTCAAACGGTTTCTTTTTGCAGTTGATGGCATCGTTGTGCCTTGGAGAGGAATCAATAAACATGATTTTCCGGAAACAAATCATTTAGATCTGCAAGTGAGGCCCCAACTCAATGGTGATGAACTCCACCAACTCCATATAGGGCCAATGAGGCCACCACATTGGCAAATGAGGCGAAGCAGGTGGTAGATTTGGGAAAAGAATGGAACAGATGCCCCTGTGGCCCTGTGGACATGCAATGGTACCAAATATGATTTAAATTCATATCTTTTGTAAGTTCTTTTGTCATTGTCAACCATGTTCGAGCAAAAGAGCTTCCTAGCAGTCCAGAAGCTCTCGAAAAGCTCAGAAGAAATGTCGGTTGTTAGATAAGAATGGCTGCCTGACAACAGCCTTTTTTAGAATGGTCGACGACCGGTAGGGTATATGCACAATTCTGAGGTACTTGATCCCTTGGTGCATTGAGAATGCCCAGCTTTTCAAGTCCCTGGCGTCTCCGCCCTGCGCCCCACCCCGCCGCATCCGCGCCCGCGCGGGTCCCGCGCGCGGTGCAGAGTTCAGCCCGGGCGCCGCGGATTGCGGAGGGGCGCGGCCAGCAGAGCTGCCGGAGATTGGGCGATCGGAGGCCCTGGAGGTGATGATGGCGTCCACGCCCGTCGCATGGTCCGTTCTGTTGGTGGGGGAGAGAGGGGATGCGGCTTTTGGGCTGAGGCAGCTTAGGCTAGGGTTGAGAGAGCAAGTGCGGGCAAGAGTCAGAGTTTTGAGAGTTTTGTTGTTGTTCCAGGGTGATGCACTGTGGTCGGGAAGAAACCATGCACCATGCACAACCTGTGATGCCCGAAACACCCTTCCCTTGAATCCTATTTATGAATATTGCATACTGTGGTCATTGTGTGTTTCCCTATTTCAAGTTGTGCAGCACCTCCCTGCAAGAGTATAGTATTTGTATATATATATATATATATATCATACATATATTATTGTATACTCCCTTTTGTCCGTATACATCATGTAATGTCAACGGCTACCGAGGACGTGATATTCCTGAACAGCGGGGCAATTTGCAGTGTTTGCCTCGACGAGTTTTCCGAGGATGCCGCACGTTTAGTCACTGAGAGTTCCAGTGTGGAGATAGCCTGCAAGGGCTTGATGCTTGACTGAACAGCCGCTCGGGAAGCTGCCCCTTTAATTGACTGGGGGGGCTGGTAATGTTAGATGGATGGCCAGCAATGCAAGCATCGCCGTGAATCAGAAAGCGTACGGCACATGGGGCAACCGTACGGTAAGGAAGGCTTATTTTTGGGTTGGGGACCTTTGCAAAGCGCGCCCAAACGATAAGGTGTCGTTTTCCAACACAACACAATCCAACGCTTTCCTTGATTGCATTAGGAATCACGTGCTCCCCGGAAACGACAAAGCCAGCTGACCACCGGTACTCACCACTGTTTGGATGAAAAGAAGGCACCAGAGACTGGACGGTTGATGTTCCGCCTCCGGGCCACTGAGACTGCAATTCGCCTCCAAAGATCGGACCAGACCCGGACGACGCCGAACGGGCTTGGACGCCCTATGTACCACAAGTTGTACAGGTGGCGGTCTCTCAACCTCTCTTTCTTGGTCTTACCTTTTGGAGTCCCGATGAATGCAGGTCGGCAAGGTCCTTACCGAAAGATGACTGGTCCAAAGCTGCGGTGATGACTTACCGATCGGTAGTTTGAGGGATGGACCTCAAGCCGGGAAAGGTGTTTCCAAATAGACACTATCAAGGATATGTTGCGCCAGGGGATGGTAGCAGGCAGCTGCCATGCTTTCGTCCCGATTTGGGGCTTGCTATCATTCCCCTCAGGCAAGTGCTTGATCCCTCGATCGTCGCTTTGCGCTGTGGCCATCCGCTGCATGTCGAGTGCGCAACAGCGGCGGTCAGCGCCAGCAGCTCCCGCCACGTACGCTGCCCACTGTGTCGGCAGCCGGTGACGCTGGCTGGCGAGGCCGCGCTGCTGTGTCCGGTCGCTGCGGTGTAGGCCAGACTGGCCTCAGTGGTTTCAAGTAGGGCCGAAGTCATGTTGACCCTTGAGTATTAAAGAACCTTCAGAAATTAATTCTACCCACATGGGGATGTTTCACCATCCATGGTAGAGAGTTACTTACCAAAGACTATCACCAGTCAACATGATGTCAGTTTCTTCAAGTTATCTCAGCACTCTATTTCCATCGGGTTTGCGGAGCTTCAGGGGTGTATGAGGCTATGTATCGCAGAACGCCGCCGCCTCGTCACAATACATTTCACTTAGGCAGACCCCAGTGGAGACATTAGATCGAACCCTTAGATGCATAATTGTAATGATTAATGATTACTAATGCTTTGTAATAGGACAAATCGTCAACCACATCCATATCCATTTGATTGATGGGGCTATATATATATATATATTTGATCAACAGATATCAATGTTACATAATCATATATTAGTTAACGCTATAACCTACCGCCAATATATTATATATATATATATGCACACTGACACCACCACCCTTTGTAGTTTGCTGCCGGAGGCAACTGCGAACATGTTCAGCTGAATCTTCATTTTCTCGGCTGATGTTTGCATGCGTTATGGTTTCCATCCCAGGGCACTCTGGCAATGCCAAGGATTTTGGGATGTGGACATCTATTTCAATAGGGAGACCCTATGAGACCCTGCAGAAACGATGTGATTGTTTGAAGGGATCGAGCTGGGGGTCTCCCTATTCTGTTTCAGCCCGGTCAGCGTGAGCTCCTGGCTTTTGTTGATTGTTGTGTCGTGTGCAGGATCTCAGTCTTGGCACAGCGAAACCTGCTGCTTTGCGGGATACGTATCACTCCAAAATGATTTGCATCCAAAAGAAACAGTGATTTCTGTCAAGAAACCTGGATTCGTATCAAACATATAATTGTTTCCCCTGGTGCCTTGTTCCCTTGCTCACCTGGTCCCTTGTCCTCTCTTCCGCTAGTCCCCTGGTCGCTTGGTCACCTCGGTTCGTCCCTTGGTCCCTGGCCCAGGGTGGAATTTGAAGCAGGAAGGTGCCATATCCTGGTTTGGGTCGCACGAAGGAGCAAGTCCAAGGAGCACACCATTTATGGGCCACCCAAGGGTAAGACTTAAAGCGTGAAGGGGCAGGTCCAACTAGAGCAGGGAGGGCGGAGTTCGAGATCCAACCTGGAAGATACCCTTTGTCAGCCTCCTGGCGGCATATTTTGGAGCAGGAAGCAGCATCATGCAGTGCAGCATCAACTTCTCCACCCCTTCCCCTTTCTACTCATGCTTTCATGTTCCTGGGAAACTTGTGCCCAAGAAGAAAGGTTCCTTAAGCACAAACAGTTCAGCTAGAACTAAGTCTGAGCCCGATTTCAATGGGTCCTGTGCTGTTGCGCCTGCAGTTCACGCTCCAAAAGAAGCTGTGCTGCTTCCATTGGGGCAGGTTCAATGATCCTGTACTGTTGCAAGCGCCTATCTGGGAACACTGCTGCTTGCAGTGGTCAGGTTTGAGTGCAATTGCAGGTTGGAAAGCTGCGTGCGTCATGCTGCACACTCCAGCCACGACCAAGAGCCAACCCAACCTTTGGTCACAGATACTTATTTTCCTGTGACAGTTGCGGTATGTTGCGGTATATGATTCATACCTTTGAAACCGATACTGTCCATATTCCAAAGCAGGCGCAAGGAAATCTTGTGCTTTGGTGGCGTGAAGTCGGCTTTTCGTGGCAGTCCGTCGGCGCCTTTGCACTTTGATGTGCAGATCGTGGCACGCACAGCGCTGGCAACTTGGCGGTACCAGGATTTTGCAGCCCTTTGTGAACCTTGGTGCGCATCTTGTGGCAAGTTCAGCATTTGTGGGCCTTAGACCGGTAAATTCCGTGGCAGGTGGAGCGCTTTTGCGAACCTCGTGATGCAGATAGCAGGCGCAGCAATTATTTGTGAACCTCGACATGCAGATTTCGTGGCTGGCGGAGGGCTTTGTGAAACTTGTGATGCAGATTTCGTGGTGAGGGCAGCGCTTTGTGAAGCTCAAAGTGCAGAGGTCGTTGAGGGCGCAACGCTTTTTGAACCTTAAGGTGTAGATTTCGTGGCAGGCGCTACATTTTGCCAACCTCGAAGCGCAGAATTCGCAGCAGGGCAGCACCTTGCGAACCTCGAAGTGCAGAATTCGTGGCAGGTGCAACCTGTGTTGGGCCTCGAAATGTGTATTAATATAATTTGTTTTGGCCGGCACAACGTGTACATGTTGTGGCAGGCGCAACACTTTGTGAACCTCGCGATACTGGTTTCTTTAACATATATATATATATATACAAACCAAAGATTTTGTTTGATGCCCCACCCCTGCTTTGCCAAGTTGCCTTCTTCTGCAGTTCTCCGGCTCTTGCCCTTTCCATTGAACATTTTTGCCAAATCCACGACTCGGCGATGGGGTTGCGGGCTCGGTGCGGGCAGCATTCTTTTCTTGGCGCATGGCCGTCTGAGCCGACGAGAGCAACGTGGCAGAAGTGGTTTTCCTTGATGTACCGGTGTGCATTCATTTGCCCACGAACTTTCAAGTGAAATTATTCTGAAATTATTCTATAGAGTGAATCCCCTTCTGAAGTGTTTTTTGCCCAGGTTTCTTGAGCAAATCCAAAACGTCCAAGACCTCGCCAGTTTGTTCGACGTTTGAACAAAGAAATGAGCAATTCAAACGGGACGGCACCAAGGAAAAAAAGAGCTCCATGAAGGCCATTGACATACGAAGCCCTCAAGATGGCACAGCGGCATTGACCAAGCTGATTGAGACCGGCGACTTGAATCGAAATGCTTCGGAACTTGACTAGAGTGCGACCGGAGGGTATTAACTAACTACCCCATGACCTTGCACCCAGACTTTCTGAACTTGGGCCACTTGGGCAACCCGAGTATTTCGGCTGCTGACTGTACTACCGTAGGTGGACGAATTATTCAAACCCTTGCAGACTTCACCCCCCTACCCCCCATAGTTCAATGTTGGCCTGTTGGTGAAGGAGGTTGGCTTGAGTGGACGAATCAAATCAAACCCCTGACAACAAAACATCCTTTCACTGAGACAACATTGAAATCGGGGGTGCGGGGGTGGTGGTCTGCTATGGTGGTTTAGGGTTTGATTAATTTGTCCATCTACTGTAGGTCCCGGCTTTGCAATTTGCGAACACTTTGACATACCCTTTATTGGGGGATCTAGGTGTGACAAACATGGTTACAAGATATCACAGCACTTCTTGCAAAAAACGGAGTGGGTGGGGTTTCCTACCTACCTTAGGATCAATCCATACAACTTCTAGGACTCCATTCATGATCCGGTCAACCTGCTCTGACCGCGCTCGAGCCTTCGATCCCCACGTCTTGGAGTGTTGTTTCTTGGTTTCCCGAGTTGCTGCAACAAAGGATCCTATAGAGCTTTCATCTTACAGCCTGTTCCCCTTCCAAACTGACCCACCAGTTCTTGAGACGCAGACAGACGCTGGACCCCGCTTGCAGGATCACCATAAACACATGATGTGTTCCTGTCGCGGTTCCAGCTGGCGGTTCCTGGTGAGGTCACCTGGAGGGTGCGGTCCAGCTGCTTCACACCATATGGCAGCACAGTGTGAAGTTGGATCAGGCCCACTATAGTCCTCGAGTCACGATCGAGTCACGACGAGTCCCCGCGACGTTTGTCTCGACCGATCGAGAATTTTGTGTTGAAGGATTTTCACACAGTTCTTTTTCCAGGAGTCAGATGGAGCATCAAACTCGTTTGGGTGTTTCTTTGCTAAAAGGCTACTGTATTCAATCTGTATTATATATATATATAGTTTGCCTTGACCAGGCGTTCAATAAAACTGGCAGTGTGCTGAAATGTAAGAACTATGATAGAATTATGGTAGACATGCCTTTAAACTATCCATGCTGACGGACAAAACCAGACGACCAGACCCCTATTTGGGCCACCTGATTGCAACAAAAGTACGATATTTCAAAGTGCAGGTAAAGGTGCCAACTATATATGATGGGGCGTCCTCCGAGATGTAGACTTGGACCACAAATACACTGGGATGCATAATCGTATATAATCTTCTCAGGCTTGTGGCGGTAGCTTCAAAAAGAAGCAGCCTGGTCAAGCTGAAGTGTTTGTGAGGTGTTCAATATGGCTGCAAATGTCCAGTCCGCAAGTGTCCGCCATGTTCCCGCAAATTTCCGTCATAGACTTGTTTGTCAAACTTTGCAAGTTGCAGCGAATCCAAGAGTGACCCAAGAATCCAAAAGTTGAACTGGATAGTGTGCTGTGTAGGGTTTGAAAATCCCAAAGAGAGATCAAAGAACACAATCAATTACATCAGAGGGGCTTGCAAAAATGACTCTCACTTTTTTTTGACTCTCAGTTTTCTTGTTTCTGATGCTAATGATTTTGATTCTGATACTAAAGAAGAGGGGGAGGAAGAAGA